ATATGAGTTTCAGCTAATAAAACTAATAGGTTTTTTTATTAATCGGGTATCAAGCTGGAGCTGCGTGACAGCTTTGTTTTCAAGACTTGACCTTTTTAAATAAATGTTGCTTCTATTCTTTACAATACAGCAGAAGCACTATCCTATGTTGGCAGCTTGAACACAGGATTCCGTGTGTATTGTTTCAAGATAGTAATAGAAAAAATGCTGTGACGTGTGCACGTAGATACATCCACGTTATAACCCGTTTCGAACGAAATATCTAGATTATGTAAGTTACAAAAACCGCGACGCAAGAAAAAAAAGGATTATTATCATTTAAAGAGTGCCACCAAAATAAATGCCATACCCTATGTTGGTAAGTAGATTAACTTCGATTTCCTCCGTAGATATTCTACTTCTTTACTACTGAGCTTTGTATCAAATGAGTTAGTTTAACGGACGTATCAATCATTTCAAGATTTCGCGACCGTACCGAACAAATTCTATACTACATATGCTCAAAAGTGTTTGACAAGCTCTACCGAATTGCGTATCACTTCTGCGTAAGCTTCGTAGGCGTAGGCGCGTTGAATCCGACAGCCGCCAAAGGTTTAACATGTACCAAAACCGCTTAAGGAACGACCTCGAATAAGTAAAACCGTTTAGAGCTAAACATCTATGTTTCGAAAGATACGAAAATCGAGCAAATTGCGAACGCCGCAGACGATGGAATGAAATAAAACATAAAATTATATACATTTTGAACAAGTAAAAAACATATTGATAGTTTTTAAACGCAAAAAACAAGGTCTGGCAACACTGTACCAAAACTCTATTCCTAGATTAATTAGTCATCTTCTGAAAACATTCAAAAGAATAGGTCTGAAGATGAATTCCACCTGCTTTGGAAAATGCCTCCAAAAATCACTTCTTTAAATGTTTTATTTTTTTCTTCCAATATTCTTTATCACAGCAATAATACCAACAATCAATACGAAACTAACGATTTTAAATTGGCTCACCACTTTAGTAGCCTATTGGTCCCAAGCAAACGATTAACGTACCCTATTCTAGTTGAAATTCTATTACTACACTATGTTTGTTTTGATTCGCTATGAAAGTTTGACAGATAACATCAGGGGTGTGTGGATTCATGCAGAACATGCAGGGGTGAGTGAAATAGCTTGAGACTGCTTGGGACCGTTGTTCTGGTACTGAGTGAGCCAAAAATAATAATGATTTTCTTCGGGACCCAGTGGTCTTAGAGTTACCTCTATGATAATACCATAGAGGTAACTCTAAGACCAGAAGGTCCCGAAGAAACGTGCTCAACTTTTTGGCTCAGCTCTGGTACTTTCTTCGGTCCCAAGCTAATCGATTCACCCCTCGAAACATAGGAAAATCCACTAACCCCTCATTTTATCTGTCAAACTTTCATAGCGAATCAAAACAAACATTGTGTAGTACTAGAATTTAGACTAGAATGGGGTACGTTAGTCGTTTGCTTGGGACCAATAGGTTAGTCAAGTAGTGAGGCAATTTAAAATCGTTATTGATTGTTAATAATACCGTATGCGTGATAATATTTGCACCATCGTACAAATAAGCTTCCCGTTTCACCTATGCATACAATGCCTTGGTTTTCTTTGCATGCACGTAACCGATAGCTCATACCGTAGTAGGCTGTGTATAAAAGAAAATGATTTACTTAGTTTGACAGTTGCACCATGACGAAGTGGCAGCGTATTCGTGATTTGTCCCACCCGCAAATGTCGCAAAAAGACATTTCAATCGCCGTTTCCCGATAGAACGTCAGAAGTGTTTTAGACCGAGAAAAGAAAGGACAACTATCCGCGAAGGTGGCCACAGGTCGTCCGAGGTCAGCTCGGGTTCCGAGGGTTGCTGCTATCAAAAGGAAGATTCGGGTGAATCCAGTGCGTTCAATAAGGAAAATGGCAAAGGAACACGGGATCAGTGACTTTACAGCACGGAAGATCGTAAAGAAAGCTTGCGGGGCGAATTCGAGGGCACGGAAAAAAAACTCACATGATTACCAACCGCATCCGGGAGCTACGAGTCGAACGATGCAAGAAAATCTTGAACTTCCTTAAGCGAAAAAATCCGGTAATCCTGTTCACCGAAGAGAGCATGTTTACCGTCGATCCCGTATCAAATTCCAGAACCGACCGGTATATTAGTTCTCTTCAGGTAAAAGACGTGGCCGACGAGCACAAGAACGTGTATCTGACCAAGCATCCTGCTAGTGTTATGGTGTTTGGATTGGTGGCTTCGGATGGCAAAAAATGGACCCGGTGTTCATTCCAGAAGGCGACAAGGTCAACACGGAGGTCTACATCGGGATTTTAAGTAAGTATGTTCTTCCGTGGATCAAATAACAGTACGGTCCGAAGCCAAATGTTGCATTTCAACAAGATGGGGCTCCGTGCCACACCGCGAACCGCACTCAGAAGTGGTTGCAGGAACATCTTCCGTTCTGGGCGAAGGATATGTGGCCGCCATCCAGCCCCGATCTTAATCCGCTGGATTACTCAATATGGCGCGTCATGAAGGCCAAGGCCTGTTCTAAACGCCACCCGAGTACAGCAAGCCTCAGACACACATCGACCCGTACCTGGAGAGAAATGGTTCCAGACTACATTATTAGAACCTGCCGTGCATTCCGGAAGCGTGTGGAGGCCGTATTTGCCGCAATTGGATACTCAAACGATGATTAACATAGTTTAATACTCTGAGAAACATCCCCCCTTTGAATAAATAAAAAAAAAACTCGAAAACGAAAGTTTTGAGATTTTTTCTTAATTTTGACATTGCTTAATGGTGCAAACATTATCACGCATACGGTACTTTGAACTTATGTTATTTATTTATCTTGTGTAAAAAAAATGAAAAACCCGATTTTCGTATGAAATAACATATTGTATTCAAATATATTCTCAAACATCCCATTAAAGTATTTAGTTGGAAAAATTAACTCAAATTTGGCAACACTGTGTTTTTTTCCCATAATTTCATGTTTTCTTGCAAATAGTTAGTTATGCAACAATTTGCAAAATGAAAATTTTATCAGCACGTATTACGACAAGTGCTGAAAAAATCGAGACTTGCAACAAGTTGCATTCCACATTTTTGCATTTTTGAAAAATACCCTTTGAGTTTTAATTATTTTTATCAGTATGGAACGCTGTTTCAAGATTAACTGCATATGGACGTCTATGCTTCTTCTTCTTTGCTTTATTTAACGTCGGTCTCTGTTCCGCAATTTAGTGCCAATCACCGACGGACATCGATTGCCATCCATTGACGTAGGATATCGCACCTATGCAACACACATGGGCCGGGACCAACGCCTTTACTTCCCATCCGAAGGAAGATGTGACCAGAGATTTTTATGCCTCAGAAAAATCCTACCGACCCCGGCTGGGATTGAACCCAGACCCATTGGGGTGAGAAAGCAGTCACGCTTACCACTACACCACCGGCGCCGGCCTGACGTCTATGCGTATAACAAAAACTTATGACTGCCACAATTTTTCAAACTCTCGGTCTACTAGACGGTAAACTAGTCAACACTCAAAAGCGTGAGCAAAAGTTACTTTTGCGCACGCTTTTCAATGGGGAAAAGTAACTTTTACGCACGATTAATTTAGTTAGGAAAATTTGGTCGCATGAAAAAACCAGTACACGGCGAATGAGAACGACTCAAATTTGAGTTTAGTTCACTCATAATCGCCAAAAGTGCAGGAACTCAGCGATGAGTTAATTTGCCTCATGTTTTCCCAGGTTTTTCCAGGATTTTCCAGGGAAAAATTTCTGAATTTGAGAAAAGTAAAGATTGGATTCACTCAGTCTATTGGTACTACTCCGAGACTGAATAAAATTTTCTTCAATTTCCTCATTTTCCGGCAGATTTTTTAGGTTTTCCACAGGAAACCATCAGACAAATTTTACTCATCGTTGAGTTCCTGCACTTTTGGCGATTATGAGTGAACTAAACTCAAATTTGAGTCGTTCTCATTCGCCGTGTATGTTGATGTGGAAATGCAAAAAATGAGTGCTTTACTTAGAAGAGCGGGCAAAAAGAAAATCGAAGAAAAAAAAACATTTTTTTTCATGATTTTCAGCATCGTCTGCTTTAAAATGCTATATCTCAGAAAATACGCAAATTACTTTTTGCTGATTGGAGATTCTTATGTAAAAAAGAATGGAGAACACAATGGTGCTGTCAGAATGGAAATCTAAATGTACTCATTCTAAAAAAATCCGTTTTAAGTTTTTAAATGCAAACATAAAATACTTGGCATCACTGGACAAAAACAATACATTCATATTTAGATTCCTTGTCTGTTTTTCTCTCAAAAACACTTCATTGTGCTAATTATAGGTTTACAAGCTCCAAAGATATTTATATAAGAAAGCAGTGCTTTCTTGAAAATCACACAACATAGAAAATGCTCCCCTGGACCAAGGGGTGCTCCGATCGGCACAAACATTTGGATTCATAATAGTTCAACCAAAATAAACACCTCCTCCAAATTTGGTCCAAATCGGAAGATGTCAATTTCACTTGCGTATCTTTTTTTCTCGGTCACTTGGCGCGGAATGACCCATATATTTCTAACAAGGTTGGTAAGATACTGTAGTAGCAGGAACACCTAGATTACAATGAAATGTAGTTTAATTTGAATTTAGATCAAATAAAAAGATTTAAAAAAAGAACAGTTGGACAAATCCCAACCGGTAGAGCATTTCGCATTTCAATTGAATTGAACGTCAACTTGAATCACCAGCCGGCAAATGAGTTGACCCCCGATCGTGGTCGACGACACACACCACACGCAAAACAAATCTGCGCAGTGAAAACCTTTATTGCGCAATATTGCATCAGATTTTTCCCTAGTAATTCGATATTTATAAATCATAGCAACTCAAATTGATTCGACGTAGATGACGCAAATTCCAGAATAAGTTTTGAGGATGAAAAAAACAACCATTTCAACTTCAGGCAATGATTTATTGGAGCTAAACTAAAACACTTCAAGGAATCCCTGCTTCACATATAATATCAGTTTGAGTAAAATGTGTTTACACTTAATTATCACCACTCTTGTATGACACTGCTCCATTCTCGGCATCACTTCAGACGTAAAACCAAATAAAAATCACTCATGTATGAATATGTATGGGTTCATTATCACTAAACACGAATTGACACGCCAGCCGAATCGTAGTATGTTTAGATTAATCTCACAGAATCCGTTGACTCAGCAGCAACGGTAAGTGATCTGGTGTTCAGCTGCCGCCTCTTCCACAGGTACCCTACCGCAATAAGCGAGACCAACCCAACCACCGACAGAATGTACACCAACACCTGGAAGGTGATGAATAACGGTGATGCTGCCTTTACCGGCTCACTGGCAGCCATTTTCGGAATAGCCGTGTCTGCATTGTACTCCAAAACATGATGATTTGAAGCTGAATCGTTGGGCTTGGCCGTTGCTTGCTCCGTAGTGGCGAATGTCGTAGTTGATGGAATAGTCGTTGTTGGGGCTGGCGTTGTTGTGGTCTTTGGACTTGTTGTGGTCGTTGTGGTCGTTGTGGTGGAAGAGGTCGTTGTGTATTCCTTGGGATACGACGCTCTGATTTCATCTTCCACATCAATTGGTTGTTCCACGTAGTCATCGTAACTATAATCGTCGACCAGTTTCTCCGAGCACATGCTGATGTAGTCATCGCGGAACAAAAAATGAGACGAAAACCCATGAACGTCCGGACTTAGCTGGAGCCGTCTCATTCGCAGGATGTTGGTCTCAAAATATGTATTGTTCCATCCATTTTTGCAGATTTCGAGCACCCGCAGACGTGGCAGGTATTCTCTTGCCTCAATGTAGTTGAAGCTCGGAATCTGATTACCAACGTAACTCAACACTTGAAGCGAGTCTAGCGATCCGAAAATTTTGAAATCTGCTACTGTGAGATTGTTGTACGATAGATCCAGTATCTTCAGCATTTTCAAATTGGCGAACGTGTCCTCAGTGAGATTGATATACGTGGACTGAAGCATCAGTTCTTCGAGAGCGGTTAGCGAGCTAAACACCGTATTCGATTCCAGGTCATTGCTGCCCAGAGACAAACTAGTCAAATTAGACACCTTGGTGATGTTGCTGATGTCACGAATTTTGTTGTTTAAAAGCGACAGCTTACTCAAATTATTACCAGCCACCGTGAGAGTTTTGATTTCGTTATTACTCGCATACATTGTACTACAGTGTTCGTTAATTGTCAAGTGCTCCAGGCTGTTATTGTTCAACACAACAACCGCTGCCTTTAGAAATTTGAAATCGAACACCTTCAACTTGTTTTCTAGCAGTTCCAACTTGGTAAGATCGTCCAATCCGATGAACACTTCGGGGTCGATTGATTCTATTTTATTGTTATTCAGTGAAATGACCTTCAAGGAACGATTATTCTGGAATAATTTCCGTGGCAAGGAAGTGATTTCACCATGCGCCAAAATCAACATTTCCAGTTGTCGCAAATTCGCAAAAGCATTCTCACCAATCCTGTTCAAAGGATTTGCCGAGATCATCAGATCCTTTAGATTATCCGCTCCCTTGAAAGTGTAGTCATCCAAGCTAGTTAAACCGTTTCCTCTGATTAACAACTTTAACAGGTTTCCTGCCCCACTGAACGTACCCGAGTCGAGTTTTTCGAGCTGACCTTGGAAAATTTCCAACGATGTCATGTTTGGGAACTTGTTGAACGCATCAGGTGACAGCTTTGTATCCATCAGCTTGATAATGGAGATATCATGCGCCTGCGCTCGAAAAGTCGAACAGAAACTCTCAGCATTTTTGAAGAAGTCCGTATTTGGATGGATCAACACGCAGCTGCTCGGCGAACACATGCAGAGATAGGCTTCTGTCGATTTTGCACCGAACAGTGCCATCAACACCACCACCAGAATCCTGAAAAAAAAGTGAAACCACATACGTGTTAGTGTGTCTGACTCAGAACTCCTTAGTCCAGATCAAGCAGGTATGGAAAAATCCACCGACGAACAAATGTATCAACATTATCAAAAACCTACCATGTGCGAGCGATTCGTAACATTTTCCAAATTACAACCTTCTCCGACAGCTTCAAGATTCAAACTGATTAAGCTCGACTTTTCTCGAGCAAGTAAATAGAAAAATCATTATCTCCAAGAGGTTCACTATATGTTATAAATACTTCTGGCAATGCATCTTGCCTGAAAACCGAATGTGTGTTCATCTTACATTATCAGTTATACAAGGCAATGTATGCCTACAACATGAACAACGACGATCCTAGGATTCGGTTCTGCGCCGCCGAAGAGGGATGGATGATCCAATTCAGTTAGCAATAACAAACCATTTCATTCTTTCATTCGTCATCATTAACTGATAAGATAAAGAAGTTTCTATGAACAGCAGTTGCAAACAAATTTATGCTAACTTCAATATCGGTAAACGGTGAATTATCTACCGAACTGTATGAATGCCAAGCAGTTATTGAGGATTGTACGGTAATCAAAACTCAGCTTAATTCTTAACTTAGGGTTCGAGGCATGTGACAAAACAAAAAATATACGCTTTTATTTCAAATTTTGCGCTAGAAATAATCCCTCAGGATTTGCAGTAGAAATGGTGTACTATCTATAAAATATAATTAAAAAATAAAAAATAAACGCAAGCTGCGGCCAATGTTTACTAATCATGAACACTATTTTTTTTTAGCGTTCATTATTAGTAAACATTGCGCGCAGCTTGTGTTACGTTTTCTGGAATGAGTGAACTTAAATCCATCGGTGCTCTCGTCTATGAAGCTATTGTAATTCAAACGATTCATTCATTTTTCTCTTACACAGTGCAAAATGGACAAACCATATAGAAACAATATGATATGGCATGGATTTCGTATTTTAGTTCTATCCAGTTCAGTTAGCAACTACGCATTAGAGCAGTTCAAAATATCAATTCTCCTTTACGAAGCTCAATCGATTCTAAATCAGGCCCTGATCATTATCCCAAGATTTCCTATAGGAACAGATAGCAATCCATAAATCATTATTGATGAATCTACGCGAAACTGCACCAGAGCATGCGACACCTTAGTTTGAAATTCAAAATCACAAAAGTGATGATGTACTATAAAATATTCCATACGATTTGACAGCTAGCAAAACGTCATTATCATTTTCACATCATTTCCATCTGCTGGCCGACCGTAACGTGTAGATTCATCAATAGCGAAAGACTAGGTCGCCCATAGTAATTCCCATATAAAGTTCAAACGACCAGTTCAGTATGAGATCGCAACCAAATGAGCTCAAATTTTGGGAGAATGATCAGGACCTGGTTTAGAATCGATTGAGCTTGGTGGAGCAAAATCGATATTTTGAACCACCCTACTACGCATCCAAAGCTACACAGTGTGACTGTTTTTCAGTGCATTCGCTTCGTTACTGTGCACTATACGGTTTGATTGTTTTCATACGTCGTTTCCGTTTTTGCGGTGTAGCTGTAGTGACACCAATAAGCGCGATTCTATACCCGAGAAAGTCGAGAAATTTTCCATTCCGAAAAATTGCAACCCCGAAACGGGAATCGAACCCAGTCACCTCTACAATTATTTTGCATTATAGCTGCGTCATTACCGACGGAGGTCTGTGGAATAGTTCTAGCGACGTTTATCAATACCTAAAGCCCCACGTTGCCGAAAGCATTTCCAAGTGATGATGTGTTATAATGCAACTCTTATTTTCCCTACTCTCATCATGAACAGTGTCATCATGACCAGCGTAATCACGCGGATAGCCAACAGAGTCACAAATCATTTCATTTCATACAGTTAGCAAGACTCGGTGCTGACGAACTCTCTCATTCCATTCTTTTCTAACCCTAAGGGTACGGCCAGGGTAGACGCGATTCGAAAGGAATCTTATTATTTATTATTATTTCTCGCGTGAGTCGCATCGCGTCGCGTCTACCCTGGCCGCCACCTAAGGCTAAGTACCTAAGCATCATTCATTTAATCCCACTCTCACTGTCCCTCGTATAGCTTCGTGCTAAGATCCGAGACTCGACATTTCACGAAGATCTGGGCTTTTTGCGTTCTTCTCTCCAAGACCAGGGCTGGCAAATGTTATTTTCAATGAAGGATCTCACGCGATATTTACAGAGATAACGGAACTTTTGAACTTCGTTACATTCAAGTATTCTCTTCAAATTGGTCGTCGGGCCGTGAAACCTTGGAAGGATTCAAATGTTTTGCCAGGTATCTTACTGAGAAGCAACATATTTTTATTTACTTACGATACCAAAACTGAACGTCTGTTGACTTGAAAGGTCTGCCCAGTGGTGAATCCCTGGATCAGATCAAAGATGAATTGACAAAATTACTTGAAGTTGAACCAGTCCAAGTAATCAAGATGAAAATGAAATCGCGTCCTGACGATTCACGCAATGGAATTTCTAATAATTTTTATTTAGTTCACTTCAAGTCTAGTAAACTAAACAACCTTAAGCCTTTAGAAAACACTTCAGAAAAACTGGAGGAAATTTTCAAAACCTTACCCAGTGCCGTAAGTGCCAGGGATGGGGTCACGGAACAAAAAATGACTACATACCTGCTAAATGCATGAATTGTGCTGATTCCTGTCACGTAAAGGACGATTGTCCAGTGAAAGAAGATCCTAAAAAAAGTGAATGTGCAACTTGTGGTGAAAACCATAAATCCATTTTTAGGAATGATCGCAAAGTGATCCTACAAGCTCGTTCTAAGTGACAGATAGGTAACGCTCCACGTTCCCGACCAAGTACTAATTCCTCAGCTGTTAACGGCCAGAGAGGAACATTCCTACCCGTAGATACAAACCGCTAACAAGCTTCAAATTCTTCATCTATACCTGCTGCTAACAATATTCAGCAAGTAAATGGAGTTACCTATGTTCTGCAACCTTGGATTTAAATTCATAATGAAGTCCTTTATCCATCTCGTTGTTAGCCTTTTTACCTCTGCGATGTGTTCCTTAAACCTTGTTTCCAAAGTCCTTTTCGTCTGAGCAATGTAAATTTTATTGCAATCTGGACAAGAGATTTTGTAGACTCCGGCTTTCCCTAAGACATTTATTGAATCTTTAGTTGATCCTAACAGTGACTTCAGCTGATTTATCCTACTGCTGAATACTAAATCTAGGCCAAAACTTCTAAACTTTGAAATCAATGGTTTGGTAATGTTTTTGTCGAAATTCACCGCTACCCGTTTAAAACCCTCAGTTACTGGTGTAAGAGTTGTCGAAATACACCTAAAATGATCCCTTGTTCTTTTATCGATTACTGCTTGAATTGTTTTTTTCTTGATACCCATTAAGTCTAGCGATTTCAAAAATGTGAGCTATTTCCTTTGATTTCCCTGTATCGATAAGAGGAAGAGTTTGCATCCTGTGAACCATGTGGTGAAAAGCGGCCATTTTGTGTTGATGGGAATGGTTTGAAGTGCTTGGTATTACCACAGACAAACAGACATAACACTCGTAAGTTGTTCATCGAACAAGCATTTAACGAACAATTTAAAAGCATCGTAGTTGGTAGTACCGCCACCTGTGGCGCGCATAGTCAATTCCCTTGCGTTTGACGTTTACACACTACCGCCATCTGTTCAACGTAGTGCCCGCCACTGTGTACTCAATAGATGGCGGTAATGTTTTAGTGACGATGTTTTACAGTGAGAAATATTCAATGTGTTATGTCTGTTTGTCTGTGGTATTACTCTCTTTGTGTTTGTTGATTTCCTATAGATTTCGAAATTGAACGAAGACGTTTCCCTGATGATGAGAAGATCTAAGAAGGGGAGTTTGCCGTCTCTCTCTTCTTCGTGAGTAAATTTGATGTCCTTATGGTCTCCAAAGTTTTTGATAAATCTTCCCTTTTGACAATGCTAAAGATGTCATCCACGTACCTATACCAACATTTGGGCAACAAATTCCTATCCTCCACAGTATTTTCTAGGTCTACTCACATAAAAATGGAGAAAGCGGATTGCCCATAGGAGCGCCTTTAGTTTGTTTATAGAAATTTCATCTGAAAATGAAATAATTTTCCTCCATACAAAGACGAGTAAGCTTGACCGAACTTTGTTTTTCCAAGTAGAATCCTCACGTTGCTTCAGAAGCCAGTCCTCTAAAAGGCTGATGGCTTCCTTTACTGGTACACTCGGAAAAAGTGCTGTGACATCGAATGAAACCATGACTTCATCTTCCCGAATCTCTCCTGATGCCTGAAGCTGACTTGCGAATTCCTGTGTGCTGTTAACTGAGCGAGTGGAAAAGGGTTTAGGCATATTTTGAAATTCCTTTACTAGCCATTTGGCAAGCTTATGAGTGGGGGATCCTTCAGCCGAGATAATCTCCCTCATTTCGTTTCCTGGTTTGTGAATCTTTGGTAAACCTTTGATCCTAGGTAGAATAGGGTTTGAAACTTTCAATTGATTCGTACTGTTGCCAATGCACTCTTTCAACGTTTTATCCACATGTTTAACTATAGATGGTTAATGGATAGATAGTTTAACAATCCTCAACTGTCTGTATGGGCCATTAGTAATTTTTTCCGTCATCCGATTGTCATAGTCCTCTTTGTCCAAAATCAATACTGCATTACCTTTGTCCGCTTTTGTATAGAATACCGGCTTTGTTTTTAGTTCTTTGAGAATTCGAATTTCCTCTTTTTCGGTTTTACTAAGTGAATGTCCCTTTCCGTTTTGTATTGTCTCTGAAATAATATTCCTGGCAGTCTCGTGTAATTGAATAGGAAGTGTGTGAGTGATTGCAGTCTCCATGTCAACGATGGTCTCTTCCACGTCAGGTTTTGAGGAGATCGCATATCCTAATCCCTTGTTGAGAAGTGTCAATTGTTCTTCTGAGAACTGCTGCGTCGAGGCTGCTCAACTGGAGTTGCTCTTCTAGACATAGAAAAAGCATTCGACAGTGGCATGAAGGTTTGATTGCAAAATTGAAAAAGTTTGATTTTCCACTCGATATTGTGAAATTAGTAAGCGAACCAGTCGATGGCTGAAAGCCTTGTTAATAAAGAGAAAAAAAAAGTTAAATTAGTTCTAAATCATTTATCTCACAGAATTCTGCAAG